AAATGTGTACTTGGATGAAAAAACGATTCTTCGCGGCAGGGGATCGTATTCCAGGGACCATAGGATTAAGGACTTGCCCGAAACGCTACGCGTACTAGTGGCTGTACAAGAATGTAAGAACTCTTGTATATATCTCAAAAAAAAAAAAATAATGTTTAGTGTGATTAATCACATTCAGTGTGAACATTTCGTATATTTCCACTCAATCAATCACCCTAAGTATTTTATATGTTTCTATCATATCCCCCCGTTCCCACCTTGTTTATAGTGTCATCAGATTCAGTTCCTTCAGTCGCTTTTCATACCCTATCCCTCGCAACTCTGGGACGAGCCTTGTCGCAAACTTCTGAACCTTTTCCAGTTTCCTTGTGTGTGTTTCTTTAGGTGTGGGCTCCATGATGGCGCGGCATACGCTAAGACTGGTCTCACATAGGCAGTGAAAAAGCACTCTAAATGCTTCCTCACTTAGGTTTCTGAATGATGTTCTAATTTTTGCCAGTGTAGAGTACGCTGCTATTGATATTCTATTTATATGTGCCTCAGGAGTTAGATTAGGTGTTACGTCCACGCCCAGGTCTTTCTCGAATCGTCACAAGTAGGAAGTTTCCCTTCATTGTGTACTGTCCCTTTGGTCTCCTATCACATAGTCCCATTTCCATAACTTTACATTTGCTCGTGTTGAACTCCAGTAGCCATATTTCTCTGACCATCTCTGCAACCTGTTCAAGTCCTCTTGAAGGATCCTACAATCCTCATCTGTCACAACTTGTCTAATTAATTTTGCGTCATCCGCGAACATCGACATATAGGACTTTACTCCTGTAGACATGTCATTTACGTATATTGTATTATAAATAGAACTGGTCACAGCATGTGTGTGTGTGTGTGTAATTACCTAAGTGTAATTACCTAAGTGTAGTTACAGGATGAGAGCTACGCTCGTGGTGTCCCGTCTTCCCAGCACTCTTTGTCATATAACGCTTTGAAACTACTGACGGTCTTGGCCTCCACCACCTTCTCACTTAACTTGTTCCAACCGTCTACCACCTGTGTGTGTGTGTGTGTGTGTGTGTGTGTGTGTGTGTGTGTGTGTGTGTGTGTGTGTGTGTGTGTGTGTGTGTGTGTGTGCGCGCGTGTGTAAGTGTGTGTGTGTGTATGTGTGTGTGTGTACATGTCTGAGTACAGGTTCAGTACACATGTGGTGTGTGTGTGTCCAAACTGTTTGTTACTGTATGAGCGATTAATTTATAGTCCGTGTATATATCTTTATTTGACAGTGTATAAGCTGTATACACGTGCTAGTGGGTACATAACCTGTTATGTACACGGGTGCGTGTTTTTTTATATACAAAATCTGTGGACACTTAAGGGTGTGTATACACAGATTGTATACACATTTGTGTGTACATGTGCAGGAAATGTGTATAGACTGTGTATACTCCTCGCTGTCAAATTTGACACTCAAATATCGATAATACAGAATTTTTTTGTATCCAAGCTTATTATATTATTAATATTTATACAACTAAAATAACCAGAGCTGTTAGATTGTAATTAAGCTTTATTCACAGAAAATAATTACGAAGAGATGTAAAGTAATGAATTAGTATTGTTATATTAATACTAAATATCTAAATATGGATGCAATCGGGAACCCACAATTCCTGAGTGCATGTATATGTTGAACTCCGGCGAAAATACAAAGACCAGCTGCATTTCTGTTGAAGAGTTCGAATGTTTGCCGTAAAATCAAATGAATTGTTTGCTTCTTAATAGAGGACTAGTCTTGGCGGGACACCAGGGCAGTTTGTGTACAATTTTATTAATGTTTACATACATCTCTATTATATATCTTGAGATTCTTATCATGAGATGATTTCGGGGCATAGCGTTCCCGCGGCCCGGTCCTCGGCCTGGCCTCCTTTTTGTTACCCCCAGGAAGAAGCCCGTAGCAGCTGTCTAACTCCCAGGTACCTATTTACTCCTAGGTGAACAGGGGATATCAAGGTGAAAGAATCTCTGCCCATTTTTTTTCCGCCTCCGCCGGGGTATATATATATATATTTATATATATAGCCTATGGTACTATATGCGAATGAAAACTCACACCCCAGAAGTGACTCGAACCCATACTCCCAGAAGCAAAGCAACTGGTAACTACAGGGCGCCTTAATCCGCTTGACCATCACGGCCGTCAAAAGGAAGTGATAGCCGAGGCTATTTGAGCCACTTCCCCGACGGCAACTCGGATGGTAATCTTGGGCATAGCATTTCACCAAATCACCTCATTCTTTGGGGCACACGTGAGGAACACAAATGCGAACAAGCCTGAATGGTCCCCAGGACTATATGCGAATGAAAACTCACACCCCAGAAGTGACTCGAACCCATACTCCCAGAAGCAAAGCAACTGGTAACTACAGGGCGCCTTAATCCGCTTGACCATCACGGCCGTCAAAAGGAAGTGATAGCCGAGGCTATTTGAGCCACTTCCCCGACGGCAACTCGGATGGTAATCTTGGGCATAGCATTTCACCAAATCACCTCATTCTTTGGGGCACACGTGAGGAACACAAATGCGAACAAGCCTGAATGGTCCCCAGGACTATATGCGAATGAAAACTCACACCCCAGAAGTGACTCGAACCCATACTCCCAGAAGCAAAGCAACTGGTAACTACAGGGCGCCTTAATCCGCTTGACCATCACGGCCGTCAAAAGGAAGTGATAGCCGAGGCTATTTGAGCCACTTCCCCGACGGCAACTCGGATGGTAATCTTGGGCATAGCATTTCACCAAATCACCTCATTCTTTGGGGCACACGTGAGGAACACAAATGCGAACAAGCCTGAATGGTCCCCAGGACTATATGCGAATGAAAACTCGGCTATCACTTCCTTTTGACGGCCGTGATGGTCAAGCGGATTAAGGCGCCCTGTAGTTACCAGTTGCTTTGCTTCTGGGAGTATGGGTTCGAGTCACTTCTGGGGTGTGAGTTTTCATTCGCATATAGTCCTGGGGACCATTCAGGCTTGTTCGCATTTGTGTTCCTCACGTGTGCCCCAAAGAATGAGGTGATTTGGTGAAATGCTATGCCCAAGATTACCATCCGAGTTGCCGTCGGGGAAGTGGCTCAAATAGCCTCGGCTATCACTTCCTTTTGACGGCCGTGATGGTCAAGCGGATTAAGGCGCCCTGTAGTTACCAGTTGCTTTGCTTCTGGGAGTATGGGTTCGAGTCACTTCTGGGGTGTGAGTTTTCATTCGCATATAGTCCTGGGGACCATTCAGGCTTGTTCGCATTTGTGTTCCTCACGTGTGCCCCAAAGAATGAGGTGATTTGGTGAAATGCTATGCCCAAGATTACCATCCGAGTTGCCGTCGGGGAAGTGGCTCAAATAGCCTCGGCTATCACTTCCTTTTGACGGCCGTGATGGTCAAGCGGATTAAGGCGCCCTGTAGTTACCAGTTGCTTTGCTTCTGGGAGTATGGGTTCGAGTCACTTCTGGGGTGTGAGTTTTCATTCGCATATAGTCCTGGGGACCATTCAGGCTTGTTCGCATTTGTGTTCCTCACGTGTGCCCCAAAGAATGAGGTGATTTGGTGAAATGCTATGCCCAAGATTACCATCCGAGTTGCCGTCGGGGAAGTGGCTCAAATAGCCTCGGCTATCACTTCCTTTTGACGGCCGTGATGGTCAAGCGGATTAAGGCGCCCTGTAGTTACCAGTTGCTTTGCTTCTGGGAGTATGGGTTCGAGTCACTTCTGGGGTGTGAGTTTTCATTCGCATATAGTCCTGGGGACCATTCAGGCTTGTTCGCATTTGTGTTCCTCACGTGTGCCCCAAAGAATGAGGTGATTTGGTGAAATGCTATGCCCAAGATTACCATCCGAGTTGCCGTCGGGGAAGTGGCTCAAATAGCCTCGGCTATCACTTCCTTTTGACGGCCGTGATGGTCAAGCGGATTAAGGCGCCCTGTAGTTACCAGTTGCTTTGCTTCTGGGAGTATGGGTTCGAGTCACTTCTGGGGTGTGAGTTTTCATTCGCATATAGTCCTGGGGACCATTCAGGCTTGTTCGCATTTGTGTTCCTCACGTGTGCCCCAAAGAATGAGGTGATTTGGTGAAATGCTATGCCCAAGATTACCATCCGAGTTGCCGTCGGGGAAGTGGCTCAAATAGCCTCGGCTATCACTTCCTTTTGACGGCCGTGATGGTCAAGCGGATTAAGGCGCCCTGTAGTTACCAGTTGCTTTGCTTCTGGGAGTATGGGTTCGAGTCACTTCTGGGGTGTGAGTTTTCATTCGCATATAGTCCTGGGGACCATTCAGGCTTGTTCGCATTTGTGTTCCTCACGTGTGCCCCAAAGAATGAGGTGATTTGGTGAAATGCTATGCCCAAGATTACCATCCGAGTTGCCGTCGGGGAAGTGGCTCAAATAGCCTCGGCTATCACTTCCTTTTGACGGCCGTGATGGTCAAGCGGATTAAGGCGCCCTGTAGTTACCAGTTGCTTTGCTTCTGGGAGTATGGGTTCGAGTCACTTCTGGGGTGTGAGTTTTCATTCGCATATAGTCCTGGGGACCATTCAGGCTTGTTCGCATTTGTGTTCCTCACGTGTGCCCCAAAGAATGAGGTGATTTGGTGAAATGCTATGCCCAAGATTACCATCCGAGTTGCCGTCGGGGAAGTGGCTCAAATAGCCTCGGCTATCACTTCCTTTTGACGGCCGTGATGGTCAAGCGGATTAAGGCGCCCTGTAGTTACCAGTTGCTTTGCTTCTGGGAGTATGGGTTCGAGTCACTTCTGGGGTGTGAGTTTTCATTCATATATATATATATATATATATATATATATATATATATATATATATATATATATATATATATTCCACGTTTTCCTTGTTTCCTCTCTTCAGTTCTTCACTTCCTCCTTCCCTCATCGTCATTACTCACTCCCCCAACCAAATGACTAAAATCTTGCTCCTTGCCATGCCCTGCAGCCCTCGGTAGTACACAAGCACTTCCTGAAGGCGGTGATCAACGCCCTGCTGCAGGAGCGGCCGCACCTCTTCAGCAAGGACCGCGTCAGGGCGCTCTTCGTCATCTTGCAGACGCCCGTCTTCCTCACCCAGTCCTCCTACACTGTTCTTGCCCACGTCCTCAGGAACATCACCTCTCTCACCAACGGTGACCACCAGCTGCTCGTCAACTGGTTCCGGACGTGAGTAAGGGAGAGGTTTTGGAGTGCCTTTGCTGGTTTGTTGGGGGTCTTATTGGCATTGTGTTTGAGTTATCTCATGGTGATGTTACAGGTGGTCTTGCAGACACAGGCTATTTCGTTCATAAGACAATTCACTAAAACACAATGTGTGTTAAAACTTATCTGACATTAATCTATTAAGATCATTCTAACCAAATCTATGGAAAGTATAGAAAATAGAAGTACAAATTGCACCCCTCAATGTGATTTGATTGATTGTTGCCGCCGAAGGCGGCTAGTTTATTGTGCACCCCATACTCATCCTGTGAGCGGTAGCACAAAAAAGCATTCCAGAGGGCACAAAAGGTCTTTATCAGACCTCAACGGAAATTATTACAGAAACAATTTCATCTATCCTTCACACCTTATAATTACAATATTAGCTTTTTACAGAGAATGTTCTATTTCAAGAGTTATATATATACAGTAAGCCATTATACATTAATGGTAGGTCTTATCGCTACCATTATTGTTTGAGCAATGGAGATATTACAGAGTCATAGGGGAGCTTCTGTATATTATTAGTCTTCACAATAATTACTTGTTAATCTCATGTCGTTTATCTACTGGGAGCGAAATATGGATACAGTCCAAAGATTTCAGGTATTTTATCCTTAGTAATATGATAGGTTGCCATATCATACAACGTGAGTTTAGATTTATCTCTAAATGGCTCAATTTTACTACAATCCAAGATAAAGTGTTCGAATGTGTGTCCCCTGTCTTTGTCCACACCACACTTTACTTCATATAGATCCCTATACAAGTCGAACTGCCAGAGATACTTGTAGCTAAGTCTTATTCGAGCTGTGACAACATCTGTTAGTCTATTAGTTTATTTACTGCAGCCTTAGCAAGAGCGTCAACTTTATCATGTTCCTTCAGGCCAATGTGAGAAGGAATCCACAACATTTTTATATTTACCCCTGGCTTCTGAGTCAAGCACGTTATTACTTAAGATGAAAAAGATTCAGCATGAACCGGGACAATTACGGTGTGTATATATGGAAGCATGATATCTGGGTTACCAAGAGGCAATAGTGTACATGTATATTGTGACGGGTCGGTGGCGGAGGATGGCAGGGCAGGGTGTGGTGTTCTAATATGGGAATGGATATACTAAGTTTCGAACTGTGGACAGGAAAATTGAGCTTCGACTTAGTAATTATATATCATCCACACGAGCTGCACTGCAGGCCATTCTGGTTGGTCTGGAGGAAGTACGTCAAGACGAAAAAGATGTTTTTGTATTTGTTGATAGCCGAGGAGCACTTGATTCCTTAAACAGTCGAAATCCAGTCTTCATGTCCATAGTTGCGATTGTAATAAAAGGATAAGGATTGTAATAAAAGGATGTAATAAAAGGATTTTCCTGCCCGAAACGCTTTGCGTAATAGTGGCTTTAGGCATTGTATGTACTAGCTCTATCTATAAAGCCAACAAACTTTGTAAAATCTCTTTATGTATGTACCTTTACCTAAATAAATATTATTATTATTATTATTATTATTATAATAAATGAGATACAGCTCAAAGCTTACAAAGTTAAATTCAAGTGGATTCCATTTCATGTTGGCATAGTGCTCAACGAGGTGGCGGATGACTTGGCCAAACACGCCACATCAAAACCACGAGTTGACATTGAATGTGTTTTAACAATGAAACAAATAAGAAGCAAAATAAGAAATATTCAGGCACAAGTAGAAGTGGAGAGGAGAGGTATAATGTATGAGGGAAGTCAAACCAGGCAACACCACATGTGTGTGAGCCAAAACACCAATATTTCACTTATGGTAATAGGAGAAATACTTGGAGTGACTGTACACATGCGGCTCAGGCTTGGGTACAAATATTACTGGCAATATGGGATAGGTGTTAATGGTAATGAAACGAAGTGTAAACTATGTGGTCATTAAGGTCTCGCACCCTCATTATGTTCTTCATTGCCATATATGATTATGATTAATGTACTGAATAATACTGTATATATTAATACTGATTAATCGTACTGACTAATGTACTTTATATGGAAATACTGAGATGAGGACTCTTCCTGCAACCCTTCCTCCGAAAAGACTACTTTTTAATACTAATGCAATAAGTACATGCCTGTCTGCATAGTACATAATTACACTTATTATGCTGTTACATTTACCTCCCAATATATTCTTCATATATGCTATTAATACACTAACAAATTTTAGGTTGAAGTTTACATATTACAGTCATTTTTTTTTTTTTTTTTTTACAAGGTTTAAATACTAAATTTTTTTTCAGTGCTATTAAACAGTACAGATGTTATACAAAAATTTAAAATATCCCAAGTTAATTTATAATTTATTGAAAAACTTTAGTTTTGTTTTATTAGTTTTATAAAACTGTAATATCAATATAACTACAGGTTAAGTACTAATTGTAATTAAGAAGCAATAAATGCTATTTACATGCTTGTCCTCTTACACTCTCAAGGTTAGGTTAGGTCGTGGTTTTCTACACAGCTTTTCAGGTAAACTCTAATATTCTCAATATTTTGGTGCGATGCTGGCGATTAAGTGTATTTATGTACTATGCCGATAGTCAGGATTGTACTTATTACATTTAGTATTAAAACATACTGTCTATTCGGAGGATGCGCAGTTTCCTGAACAAATAGCTTGGATGTGTCACAACGGAATTATTAATGATGTTCTGGAGAGATATATAAGAATTTTGCACCAAGAGTGTAACTTTTCTGAATTGTCTAAATGTCCATTGCAAATTGTCTGTGTACCAAGTGATACAAGTATTTGTGTGCACGTCTGGTAACATACTGCATGTGTAAAGTAAGAAATGTATAAGTTTATCACTCAGAATGTTGAATAATATGCTTATTGTTTGTGATGTGTTATTATATACATACATGAACACGTTGTACTGAACGGGGGTGAGAATAGCTTGAGCTACCTCCTCCCTTTATTTATATCTCAATAAACATATTTCATTTTAAATTTCAAAACAAATCTAACATAAACTACTCCAGCCAGATCTGAAGCTACATATATTTTGTTTGATTAGAAAACGAGTTATACTAAATAATATTTACAATATGAACTAGCCGCTTCCAGGGAACTTTAGCACCACCCTAATGTATCGAATACTTGTATCCACAGCTTCTTTATTTCTCCCTCACAGACTGGAGGTGTCGCGACTAAGAATGATGGTTGGGATTATCATTCAGTTCCTGACTGTGAGGCAGTTCCCTCCTCCTGACCGCTCTCTCCCGCCGCTCAGTAAGAGCAAGTGGTGGATCCCAACGGCGACCAAGGTCCTGGCCATCCTCTGTGAGTCTCAAGATGTGTACTCTAGTCATGTCATGCACAACACCATGGCCACTCTTGATGTGTACTAATTGTCATGTACTCCTCATAATATGGGTTAAATTATGTGTGAAGATAAACTAGACAATAAGCAGGGAATATGAGTTACTATGCGTTATGGTTACTAATGTAGTTTCACTTGTGTACTCTGGCTAATATTGTGTTCTAAAAAGTACTCTCCTATAATGTACTCTGTTCACTACACTCTGGATCAACAACCTAAACGTGGAAATTTGTTATGTCTTTTATCAACAATGACGCGGAGTACTCAGTAATTTTATTAATATACTAACACTTGTTTATGTTTCCGTTAACGAGTGGCAGTTTATTAGTGGAAATACTGAGTACTTTGTGTCACTGTTGATAAGAGACATAACAAAGTTGAAGCGCCAGTGGCTCAGCTGATCTATACATTCTTAACCACCCAAATTCATACCGTCCCATCACCTGATGCACGCTCTCTAGCTCCTACCCTATGGGCTCACCCACGCCCCAGTAGCTCCTATCCCAAAATGTTACTCTGACATGGAATCACTCCCACACGACCTACTCTCTCCCACTAATGAACTAACTCGCCCATTTCCCCCCCACAACGAACTGACTCATCCACTCTCTCTACCCCACGACCTATTCTTCTGTATCTGCCAACCTTAACTACCTAACCAATCCACTCTCTCCCTCCGACGCTGGTGAACCAGACGCCAGCAACACAGCGTCACAACCGGCGCTCCTCCACTACACAGAGTTTTACAACCACGCCCTCGACCATCTCGACCTCATGTCCGAGTATCGAACCTGGCAGCTTCCTGACAGACCCGACTCCTTCTCGTTCTGCCAGTACCCTTTCATCCTCTCTATCGTGGCTAAGAGACACATCCTGACCAAGGTGGGTGTTGGCGGGAGGAACCTCGTGCATCCCTACGGGGGGGCCTACGGGAGGCATTTTCCTTTAAAACTCCCACAAATCGCTTTCCTACACATTCTGGGGGGATTATGGTTTATATATATAGTCTAGCAATCAAAATTATTGGTTAGTAGAAATTCACTATAGTATTAGACTACATATATTAGTAATTAAATTTAACACAACTACAGCTTATCTGTATAGTTGATTTTGGCGTTGACAACCAGTATGAACACGGATGTTCATACTGGTTCATTGTTCATTACTCCTCTCGTGGGTGAAGGTGACTCCACACATGTACTTTTTGTGCTAGGTAACTAGTGTTAAGCACATAAAATATGAAAGACAAGTCAACAGACAAAATAATATGAATAATCACTGGCAAATGAAAAGTTACGTTAAGACAAGTGAGTTACAGTGATAGCAAAATAAAATATTAGTGGTGCTGGAATATTGGCTTCGAGCTGCCACCTCCCTTAGTACACGAAAGCCAAGGCTTAGTCTACCAGCGAGAGATGTCAACTGCTTGGAGCACTGAGATATTCTGACGATACTGCCGCACTGCAGCCCAGACGTCGACTTGTGGCGGAGGCGGAGGGCAGGTGCGACGAGACACCAGCCAATCAGCAACAGGCAGGCAAAGGATGAGCAGTTTGCTGGTTACGGCGGTGGTAGGTAGCAGGTGTCACTGTGTGCTGGGTACGATTTGCTCTCTGGGCAAAACATTTGGCGATACTTGCTGGACGTATCTTCTATATTATCTTGTATATTGACGTACTTTGTAGGGAAGAGCAGGCTCAATCTCTCTTGAAAGAGATTATCGTCACAAATGTTAGTAAATGGTGTCGGTTTTTCTGGCAATTCGAATCGTGAACCCCACGCGTTGAGACCAAAGCTCTATTAACCGAGCTATTGTAGTCTTAATAAGCAAAGTTTTCAGAGGCATTTTTGTCTAAAGTTTATTTCAACGGAAGTGTGGATGACAATTTGTATGCTCATAATGTTTACAGAAAACATTACCATTAAACATTCTTGAAAGGTTTCTGACTGAACGAGTTGAACTGTTGCTGTACCGAGTTAATTGTTGGTGATTGTTATAGTGGAGTGTTAATGTGATGTGAGGAAGTATAAGGACAGATAAAGGAGGTTTGACGGTCTCTGTGCCCGCGTGTCTACAGGACGCAGAGCAGCAGATGATCCTGACGGCCCGACGCTCCCTGGTGGACAAGGTGGCCAGACACCAGCCGCCCCAGATCGACATATTCTTCCTCAATATCAACGTCAGAAGGAACCACCTGGTGGAGGACTCTCTTAAGGAGGTTAGTCGTGGGACCGGGCAGAACGGGGCGTTTGCATACCTTGTACCCGGTGTCTATTCACCTTGCAGCAAATAGGTACATAATTGTTAGTGTGGGTTACCTCCTGGGAAATAACAGTATACTCTGAAGATAATCACATACTCTTTTAATCTGGATTTGCCATTGCGTAGAACAATACAACCTTTCAACCAAACCAGAGGACGAACCCGAGCAACCCACTTAACCTATCAACAAACATATCGTAGATATTTGTGTGCCTATACTTTTCATAGTAGGATGCATTTGTGACGCTGGCTACTACGTCATAAATGCATATATAATAACGTAAATAATAACGAAACATACATACGTGACATTAATTTTTCTTTTCTACCACAGACGTAGCCACATATTTAAAATGCTAACCATGATATGTATACATTTCTTCTGTCCTCCATGGACAGTGTTAGAGAGAAGGGTTGATAAGATATCCACACAGACCCTAAAATTATTAGAAGTCTACCATCGTGGCTTAAAATATTTAATGCGTGTCCATAAAGTCTTGTTGGCGTGTTCCCGCAGATCGCGGCCAAGAAGCGAGACCTCAAGAAGAAGCTGAAGGTGACGTTCACCGGGGAGCCTGGGCTGGACATGGGCGGCCTTACCAAGGAGTGGTTTATGCTTCTTATCAAGCAGATCTTCAAGGTGAGCATGAGTCAAGGAGAGAGAGAGAGAGAGAGAGAGAGAGAGAGAGAGAGAGAGAGAGAGAGAGAGAGAGAGAGAGAGAGAGAGAGAGAGAGAGAGAGAGAGAGAGAGAGAGAGAGAGAGAGAGAGAGAGAGAGAGAGAGAGAGAGAGAGAGAGAGAGAGAGAGAGAGAGAGAGAGAGAGAGAGAGAGAGAGAGAGAGAGAGGTGGGGGGGGAGAGAGAGAGAGAGAGCACATCTCCAACAACCCAAAACTTTGACATATTTCCACAGCCGGAGAATAAAATGTTCGTGTACCACCCGTCTACACGGCTGTACTGGTTCTCCCTGGCTCAGGATGGTAACTTGAGGGAATACAACCTGATCGGCGTCCTGATGGGCCTGGCCGTCTACAACTCCATCATCCTCGACGTTCACTTCCCCGCGATCTGCTACAGGTAAGCTTAGGGAATGCGTTCTCGAGGGCGTCGCTCAACTTTGTTTATAAGTCGTATTTTATGACGTTTTAGCTCTTTTTGTAGTTATAGATCTGAAGATGTTATAGATCTGAAGATGTTATAGATCTTATTAAAGTTTGCACTTAAGGCGTTTAGGACGCGTGTTAGAATTATTTTTAAGAATTTTACGTCAATAATATATAAATTTAGGACGTTTGGGATTAAAGTAAATGTTGCAGAATATTTGATGATTTTTCTGGTACAAGCAAAATTTTTTGGTACAAGCTAAAACACATGAGTCCACTCATGATACTATACAACATTATAGTGACTTTGTGTTACCAAAACACAGTAACCTGAGAGTCTGGAGCTCAAAACGTCGTGTACATGTTCCTGCAGGAAGCTGCTGAGCCCGCCAGTGGTGCCCGCCTACGAGTACATCGCCGTGGGCATCGCCAAGGCGCCTGGCCTGGACGACCTCAGTGAGATCATGCCTGTAGGTTCCCTCAGCGGCCGCACGCTACCCAGACCCTCTCTAACCGCCCTGGCCTCCCAAGTGTGATATGAGCCTAAACCATTTACTGATGTACTTCTTCCTTACATATATACGTATATCTATATGCCAGCAACGTTCTTTGGTTCGGTATTGGGCTTTAGGACGAAAGTAAAGTAGTACACACTGTAAAGCAGAATACTGAACACCTCTAGGTGTATACATTCATTGTATTCTAGATATAGTAGTGAGTTAATGGCCACAACAATGGACCGACGGACAATGTATTGAAGTTCCAAATATTACTAAATACTAAAGTAAACCCGTAAGATAATATACAATACATACCAAATGGTTGGAAGCCGAGAGAACAGTAATTTGAGTTGGAATATACACAATTAAAATAAAAAATTAATACCCTAATATTATTTACAAGTAATAGTACAACCCGTTCTCGCACTTCCTTACAGTCAATATTGACTTATTAAATAAGTGCATATGTGACATTAATTTATTGTGAATATTTTAGTTTACCTTGAAAAGCTTCATAGAAAACACCGACCTTACCTAACCTTCTTAGTATGTTAAGATAAGCATCTTATTGCTTCGTAATTACAATCATTACTTAACCTTTTATTATACCTTTTATAGGTTAAGTAATAATTGTAATTACGAAGCAATAAGATGCTTATCTTAACATACTAAGAAGGTTAGGTAAGGTCGGTGTTTTCTATGAAGCTTTTCAAGGTAAACTAAAATATTCACAATAAATTAGTATGTTACATATGCACGTATTTAATAAGTCAATATTGACTATACGAAAGTGAGAGAACGGGTTGAATAGTAGTACCAATATCTTTACTCACACCACTTTAGTTTTTATACATTATAATCATGGCAAACATAAATTATTAAAACCCTATTTTTTGCAGGAAGTTGCTCACGGATTGAAGGAATTACTCAAGTACGAAGGTGACGTAGAAGAGGACATGTGTCTGAGCTTTCAAGTACGTTAAATGTTGCGTGTATTTGTAAAAAGTAGGCCAACTAGAATATGAATTTTAGTCTGTAAATCTCGAGTCTATGCAGTCTGTTTGATACTAGATACATTAATCACCAATTATGACAACGGATAACCACGCCTGTCTACAGGTATCTCTGGAAGAATTTGGTCAACCGAGAACATTCAACCTGAAAGAGAACGGAGAGACGCTACCGGTAACTAATGAGAATCGTGAGGAGTTCGTGCGCCTCTACCTGGATTGGATCCTCAACACCGCCATCTATGAACAGTTCCGGGCATTTTACCTCGGATTTCACACCGTCTGCGCATCTAACGCACTGATCGTGAGTGGCGCGTCTTTGCACATACAGTAATGTTAAATCAACGGAGATATAATATTTGCAGCGCATTAAGCTCATTCAGATAAGTGCTTAACTGACGGAACTTGGCTCCTCATATTGGAGCACAGAGATGAGAGCAAAGTTTCAAACCGTTGGGCTTACTCTGCTCATCACTGTTAATACCTTGATTATCACCATTCACTCTGCCATTATCATCACTATCACCGTCATCATAACCACTACCGACATGATCACTACCATCACCACAACTACCATTATAACCACCATCACAACCAGTGTCACTAACACCATTAATGCAGTGCAGACGAGGAGTCACAATAATGAGGCTGAAATATGTTAACTAAACCACACACTAGAAAGTGAAGGGACGACGACGTTTCGGTCCGTCCTGGACCATTCTCAGGTCGATTGTGATGAGGAAGCAAGGCAAAAGGGCCGAAAGGTAAGGTGTAATAAGGGGGATAGTAATAGGAATAAGAAAGGGGTCGCAAGAGAAAACAATGGAAAGAAAAAGAGAGATAAATGGAAGGGTGAGCTTATGTTAGGTCACGTTTGATAGAAAGTTTAGAACAACGTCGTCGAAACGTCGCCGTCCCTTCACTTTCTAGTGTGTGGTTTGGTCAACCATTAACACCATCACCACTATAACTAGTTTCATCGTTATCACAACCACGAACATCACTACCACGATAACCACTACAATCACAACCCCCCAGCATCACCTGACACTATCACCCCGACCAACACCAGCACAACCCCCAGCATCACCTGACACTATCACCCCGACCAACACCATCACAACCCCAGCATCACCTGACACTATCACCCCGACCAACACCATCACAACCACCAGCATCACCTGACACTATCACCCCGACCAACACCAGCACAACCCCCAGCATCACCTGACACTATCACCCCGACCAACACCAGCACAACCCCCAGCATCACCTGACACTATCACCCCGACCAACACCATCACAACCCCCAGCATCACCTGACACTATCACCCCGACCATCACCATCACCTGACACTATCACCCCGACCAACACCATCACCTGACACTATCACCCCGACCAACACCATCACAACCATCACCATCACCTGACACTATCACCCCGACCATCACCATCACCTGACACTATCACCCCGACCATCACCATCACCTGACACTATCACCCCGACCAACACCATCACAACCATCACCATCACCTGACACTATCACCCCGACCATCACCAGCACAACCCCCAGCATCACATGACACTATCACCCCGACCATCACCATCACAACCACCAGCATCACCTGACACTATCACCCCGACCATCACCATCACAACCCCCCAGCATCACCTGACACTATCACCCCCGACCATCACCATCACAACCACCAGCATCACCTGACACTATCACCCCGACCATCACCAGCACAACCCCCAGCATCACATGACACTATCATCCCGACCATCACCATCACAACCACCAGCATCACCTGACACTATCACCCCGACCATCACCATCACAACCACCAGCATCACCTGACACTATCACCCCGACCATCACCATCACAACCACCAGCATCACCTGACACTATCACCCCGACCATCACCATCACCTGACACTATCACCCGACCATCACCAGCACAACCCCCAGCATCACCTGACACTATCACCCCGACCATCACCATCACCTGACACTATCACCCCGACCATCACCATCACAACCACCAGCATCACCTGACACTATCACCCCGACCATCACCATCACCTGACACTATCACCCCGACCATCACCATCACCTGACACTATCACCCCGACCATCACCATCACAACCATCACCATCACCTGACACTATCACCCCGACCATCACCAGCACAACCATCACCATCACCTGACACTATCACCCCGACCATCACCATCACAACCATCACCATCACCTGACACTATCACCCCGACCATCACCATCACCTGACACTATCACCCCGACCATCACCATCACTGTAACACGGGGGAGGGGGTTCTCGAATTTTTTTTTTTGCCTGTTTCTCTCCCTCTGCCCGTATTCTTACTTGATCTCTCTGTACCAAGGGACCCCAAAACTTTCACTTGAGCCGACCCCACGCCACGTGGTCTCAAGACGATTTACCGACTTGAGATTCTACAGCCCGTATGACGTGGACTAGGCTTCTAGCAAAACCCTAGGGTCGCCTTTCCGCCGCCACCACCAGACCAATAACACGGAGCAATGATCGAGGCCTGGATCGATCATGCTAATCAATAACCTTGGGGCTTGATCCCCACTAGTAACATATGACTTTGGATCTTAAGTGTGGAATTAATTAAACGGGAATGATAATCCTGATTCGATGTTAGAATCGGCGCCCAATTCAACTCGGCCTCGTGGGGACCACGTGACAAGGACAAATTCATATAAATATAACACACACATGGAAAATAAGGAAAATGCAATTTAATAACTAATTAATTTATTCAAAACTAAAAACAAAATCTAAGAAATGGTAATCACTGACTTGAACACTCCCTGACTGGCAATGAATGGACTATCCCTATAATTACTCGTAAAGCAACTCAACCTTGGGCGACCAGCTAGATGTTCGTGCTGTCTGGAAGCCGATGATGGAAAGGCCACCTGCCCGAGCTGCTACTCAAACCATACTGTCTGTCCTCTCTCTGATGCTCCTCTACCCAGGAGCCCAGAGCAGAGTATTGTTCCGCATCGTTAAGTTACTTACAAGGCTTAACTTATAACAATTAACCTCTGTTGTACTGAATGATCCAGATTGGTTGAATTATTTTACTGAAGTTAAATTACCCAAGCATCTTAAGGAAGAGCTATTTCCAATACAAAATGGCTCTTTGACCTTTGAGAAATAGAGGACATGGAACCTCGTGACCTATGACCGCCAGGTCACTCCGCAATAAAGAGTAGTCCTGGCTCGTGACGTCACTGATGGTGACTTAACTCAATAATTAGAAAACTCTTGATATTATAAACAGTAATACTATACAATACAATTTGAATGCAAAATGAATGAAGGCTAATTTCTCTAAATAAGTGAATACTATAGGATGATTCATTATACGAAACTTGTGAACAAAGGCGTCAATTATTTTCACCACGAACTCCCTGGGGTCAGGTCCCGGGTCAACCCACGTGTGGCTCCAGCTTCCCATTCTCCCTTGTAGATAAACATTCTGGATAATTCTTACAACAAACCTAGTTTGTTACATCACAACCACCAGCATCACCTGACACTATCACCCCGACCATCACCTGACACTATCACCCCGAGCATCACCATCACAACCCCGAGCATCACCATCACAACCCGAGCATCACCATCACAACCACCAGCATCACCTGACACTATCACCCCGACCATCACCATCACCTGACACTATCACCCCGACCATCACCATCACAACCCCGAGCATCACCATCACAACCACCAGCATCACCTGACACTACCACCCCGACCATCACCATCATAACCCCAGCATCACCATCACTACCACGATAACCACTACAATCACAACCCCCCAGCATCACCTGACACTATCACCCCGAGCATCACCATCACAACCCCCAGCATCACCTGACACTATCACCCCGACCATCACCATCACCTGTCACTATCATCCCGAGCATCACAGGACACTACACCAACATTTGTCTTCCCCAACTAAAGATGCTGCGGCCAGAGGAGGTGGAGATGTTGGTGTGCGGGTCGCCCAAGCTGGACCTCAATGAGCTGAAGAAGGTAGTGGAGTACGACGGCTACACAGAGGACCACCCTACCATAAAGTACGTCGTACGAACACAAATGCTAACTCTATTCTCTTCCCACTATATTCGAATATCAATAGCCTAACCCACTCAAACATTTCAATGACGTTTCGGTCTGTCTTGGATGCTTATTAGGAAGACAAGGGGTCTTAGACGGACCGAAACATCGCCACTTTCATTTCTCATGTGTGGCTTGGGTTGTCTGTTTCAGCAACATTATCTAAATAATAAATAAAAACAAAGATAAAAGATAAAAATAAAAGGAGATAAAATAAGATAAAAGATAAAATAAGGAGATAAAAACAAAGGAACTGCAAAAGGCTTTTTGGCCAATGTGAAGCACCCCCAATTTATACCCAACAAAACTCATTGGCACGTTTGTGCTTGAGAATACAGTTTATGAAATTCCTATATCTTCCCCTTTTTTTCGCCGTAATTACATTTTGCCTCCACTTTCCCAGCTCGATAATCATGTTTACAATTGTATCCCTGCCGGTATAAAACCTGAGAAATGGTTTCTTGTACTCTTTTGCAATAGCTAAGGTTGCCTCGCCTTAGGTATTTACACCATTTTTCCATTCATATATGTTTTGTTTGGTGATGGGCTCATCGCCTTTCAACCTCTGGAAGGTTAATAAGGCAGCACAATAGCTCACTGACCAACCAGCAAGTATACTTTAGCCCTGGATATAATAGAAGACTAAAGTATACTCAGTATGTGCTGCGTCTATATTTCTTTTTACAAGTCATATCTGCTGTAGAAGTTATCTCTGTTGTAAATATAAGATACCGGATTGGTAATATAAAAATGAAAGGCAGCTTGCAGTTTCAGAATTACAGTGAATGCCACCATAACCTAGCAACACTGGACTCTCCGGCAGGTGGTTCTGGGAGGTGGTGAAGGAGATGCCGGTGGGTCAGCAGAAACTCTTCCTGCTGTTTACCACCGGCAGCGACCGCATTCCCGTGGGAGGCATGAGCGAGATGGTGTTCAAGATCTCCTGCTGGAGGGGACACACCCACATGTTACCACAAGCCCACACATGCTTCAATCAGCTCGTTCTCCCGCCCTACGACTCCAAAGACGTCCTCAAAAACAAGCTTTACATCGCCCTCGCCAACGCCGAAGGCTTTGGACTTGAGTAATTGGGTCTGTCCTTGTTGCCTGGAGCCATGCTAACGGCTACAGCACTAAATCGTCAATGAGGTTTCGTAATGCAGAATCGCGGTCATTAATTATCAAAGTACGTTCACGATTCGTCGGGAAACAAATTAAAGAAAATTTAACATTATGAGAACTTAAACCTCCCTTCTATCAAGTAGTGAGGATTAATAAGAAAATAAATATCAACAAAGAAAAGTCTGAAATATATTGCTCTTAGATTATGTACAGGCCCAAATATTTTTTCCCATGAACAAAATCAGTTTGAACGCTGAGAATAATCAGGGAACTTTTAATAGGACGGTAAAAAGACAGCTAAAAAATGTCCTCATTTTTAGCTGACGGAGGAAGATTAATTGCTTCAAGTTTCAAAAGTCCACTTAATAATAATGTTATCCTACAGACAAAACTGTGATACTGTCCTGGGTTTGATACAAGAAACTGCTATTAAATGACTGTAGTGTAAGTGTTTGTCTTTATATGTAAATACGACAGAGATCAGCAAATGTCCATGATCACAGCCTCACGAGTTTCGTGAATTGAAATTCACGAAACTTTTCTTTAGTTTAATGTTGTGGGAAACCTATTTTTTTCTGCTATACTTTTGGTGTTGTTAGCCGAGTGTAAATGGCTTTATTGTTGTCTAATAGAGAGTTTTACAAGTTAGTCTATCTAGCGACACCTTGAGAGATAGTCTGAGATAGTGGAGATAGTGCCTGATGCCCACTGGCCTGTGTGCATCTTAATGCATCTGACGGTGTAACATTATGTAAGAAACTGAGTCACAGAGTGCCGTCCTCTGAGGTGTTCCTTCAACGCCCGAGTGAATACGGTCTTCATTGTTATGGTCGTGTGAGTGCCTTAAGAGAGAGCTCCAGTAAGTGGAGCTGCCTAAATACTGGTTATTAGCATGTAATGATATTCGGGGTTATTACCAGATAATTTATTTGAAAACCTTTTGAAGAAATCTATGGCAGTTCTACTCTGTTGTTAGGAAGTTAGGCTATATATATATATATATATATATATATATATATATATATATATATATATATATATATATATATATATATATATATATATATATATATATATATATATATATATATATATATATATATATATATATATATATATATATATATATATATATATATATATATATATATATATATATATAAGACAATGTAAGACCACGAAGGAAGGATTAAGAGAGGAATTTCCTTTAAGTACTTTTGTATTTAATAATACATCTTCAGAATGATGGATTTACAATTCAAGTATGTGGATATATAGGCAGGAAAGAGGTAAGGTGAGGATGTCTTTGATGAGATAAGGGGATATTAATAAGGTATTATTGAGATAAATGTGTATCAATGATCCCACTCAAATCGCCCTTTAACTGATAAATAAAAAATGGATCTAAATTATAGAAACTACTTCTAATGTTCAAATTATATGATTTTGTAATCTGTATTAAAGCAGATTTAATAATATTTCAATTAAAAATGATTTTATACATCGTTATTGAAGACGCCATCTCCCAATCAATTTGGTGAGAACTTTCTGAGAAATGAACAAACAAGGCATTAGACAATTGGCCATGTCTTATAGAGTATTTATGTTGCAAAATTATAAATTTCAAATCTTTGGATGTTTGCTCTTACATAGAACTTATTACAGTCTTTAGAAGGTATTTTGTAAATTACACAATTATCACAACGAGGACTGTTCCTAACTAATAATTTTCAAACAGTATTTTCGTAATTAATCAATATATGAATATCAAAATGTTTCAAGGCCTTGACAATATTTTCGAACCAAGAAAAATATGATTAGCATGACACATTTTTTGGTGAATTGCCTTACTGTAATTATTATTATAATATGTATGATGGACTATGCTACGGCAAACTTAAAACAAAAACTCAGTGGAAAACAAAGCTTGAGAACAATAGAATCAATATTTTTAAAATTCTTCATCCAAGAATTCTCGACTAACAACCCGAAGAGCTCATAGATACATAGAAGAAAAAATAGATTGTTTCACATTGTATCTATTCCCTGAGAAATAATGAACGTAAGATAAATTATTCGTAGGCTTTCTGTAAACACTAAACTTGTGTGAAAAATCTTCCCTATCAATACGTATATGTAAAAAATGGCAAACATTTATCAATTTCAGTCTCTATAGTAAATTGTACAGAGGGGACTTGATCATTAAGTTTATCTGAAAATTCGATTGAATTTACATTTGTAGGCCAAATACACAAAATATCATCACCATATCTAAACCATGAAATCGTTTAGATACTCCAATAGATTCCCCATTGTCTTTCCAAAAGTCTGCAAATAATACAGAAATTTATTAAAAGTAAATTTACATTCTTTTAAACACAGCTTAACGAACTTAACAACAATATCAGCAGGCAGAGGCAATACCCGGTTCATTAATTCATGAGCATGGTATTCACAAATATTATCAACCGGAACCTTAGTAAACAAAGAACGTCAAACTGATTAACTTGACATCAGTCCTTGTAGTGATAATTGTATAATATACAAAATACCTTGTGAAGATTTTAATAGATATTAATTAATGTAGAGTAAACATCCAAAGATTTAAAATTTAGAATTTCGCAACATATTAACTCTGTAAGACACGACCAGATGTCAGATGCGTTGTTTGTTCATTTGTCAGAAAGTTCTCACCAAATTGACTGGAAGAGAGCTTCTTCAGTAAAAAACTGGACAAGCATTTTCAGTGAAAACATTATTGAATCTGCTTTAATACAGATTACAAAATCATGTAACATGAGCATTAGTAGTGGTCTGTATAATTTAAGTCAATTTTTGATTGTCCAGTTAAAGGCGATTTGAGTGAGGTCATTGATACACATTCATCTTAATAATTCCTTATTAATATCCCCTTATCTCGTTAAAGACATTGTTTCTTACTTCACCTCATTCCTGCCTATATATCCTCAGAACTGAATTGTAAATCCAACCAGCTTCTAAGGATGTATTATTAAATACAAAAGTACTTAAGGAAATTCCTGTCTGAATCCTTCCTTTGTGGTCTGACTGACACTGTCACATTTTATCACGTGTTAATTTCTTTTCGTGATTTATATATCACGAGAATAAATATATATATATATATATATATATATATATATATATATATATATATATATATATATATATATATATATATATATATATATATATATATATATATAAAAGATTCGGAATGGTGTAAAGAAAAGTTATTTACGTATTAAAAGACTATCATCATGAAAGTGAAGACAATCTGTGATATGTGGAGCAATGAGCCCGCAGCCTAGCTCCATCCCTTCATTTCTTGTACATACAATTATTCTTATTGGCTTTAAGGCGTTTAAAGATGTGCTTCGTTAACTGTTTTTCTTGGCTAAGGTACAAGGTGTGAACTGTTAGTTTCTCTGGATGTTATATTGTTCATCACTCCGCCGGGATACAAGTGAACTAATTCTCTGGATGTTATACTGTTCATCGTTCCGTCGGGATACAACTGAACGAATGTGTATTGAAGCTTCTTTTGCCATAATAATTGATGCCTTAAACAAATTGGGTGTTTGCTTCGATTCTCTAAGATGCTGTTTTAAAACAAAACAAAAATCGGGATTCCCCCAAAAACAGATAATTGCAGTATTTTCAGGAAATGAGTGATTTCATTTTTTTTTTTTTTTTTTTTTTTTGAGATATATACAAGAGTTGTTACATTCTTGTAGAGCCACTAGTACGCGTAGCGTTTCGGGCAGGTCCCTGGAATACGATCCCCGCCGCGAAGAATCGTTTTTTCATCCAAGTACACATTTTACTGTTGCGTTAAACAGAGGCTACAGTTAAGGAATTGCGCCCAGTAAATCCTCCCCAGCCAGGATACGAACCCATGACATAGCGCTCGCGGAACGCCAGGCGAGTGTCTTACCACTACACCACGGAGACTGCAAAATGGGTTATATATGGGTTAATAATTTCACGGTTTGGCAAGTAAATCTACCCAAGGGCAAGAATATGTATTAATAATACAGCTCTTTCGTGTAAGATCATATACTTCTGCAGCTGAACATCAAATTAATGCGATGACTGAAAGTGTAACATTATCATGAACATATTTAACAAGAAAAACATTAACGTCAGACTGGGAAAAAGTTATAGAAAATTTTGGGCGATGATATCAATCAAAATAATGCTTACATAAGAATATATTTTGCAAAATTATTTTTAAAACTTTTTTTTTGAACTTTAACACAAGAAAACGAAGGAGTTATACAAGAATATATATATATATATATATATATATATATATATATATATATATATATATATATATATATATATATATATATATATGTTGTTAAATATGACCGAAAAAAGTAAGATCAATAATTCTAACACGAATTTTCTCAATATTTCTTATGTTTCTTTTCACTGTCGATGGTAATTGAAAAATCAATTCTCCAAAATTCATTTTTATTTCTAGCATTTGAGAGGAATTCTGTGTTGAGTTTCACTTACAAGATGGAGAAGGATGGAGAAGGAAGGGAAGCTGCCCTTTCTATATGTAACAGTCACGGAAAGGAGCGGATACTTCCACACTGCAGTCTACACTAAGGAAACAAACATAGGAATGTGCCCCAATGCCAATAGTGACTGCCCAGACAGGTACAAGAGGAGTGTTGTCAACTCTTACGTCGACCGTGCTCTCATGTCACAGCTCCGGATGGAAGCAAGTCGATAAAGAACTCTGTAGGGTAAGGCAGGTCCTAGTCAACAACGGCTTCTCCAATGGTTTTGTTGAAGACATCATAAAAAGAAAGGTAAAATGCCATGCAACCTCTGAAGAGTCAAATAACACAACACATGCACCCCCTATTAGACTATTTTACAGGAACTTCTTTTCGACAGCTCATAAAACAGAGGAAAGGGTCCTGAAAGATATTGTTGATAGCAACGTTATCCCCTACAGACAAAAATCAGAAAATACAACTGATTATTTACTATAAAACCAAAAAAACGGCCAACATACTCATGAAAAACTCTCCAGACACAAAGCAGAATGCCTCGAAGGAAACCAATGTCGTTTATGCCTTCAAATGCCCACTTGGGGTCTGTAAGCCCCAAAGAACTCAATATATAGGCAAGACAACAACGTCTCTTTCCAGGCGATTAACAATGCATAAACAACAGGGCTCCATAAAGAAACTTATAATCTCCTCTCACAACCAGACCATCACCAGAGAAGTCTTAACAAACAACACAGAAATCATCGATTGATAGAGCAATAGCAGGCGGCTCGACATCTGCGAGGCACTACACATCAAAAAGTCAACACCAGCCAATTAATGCACAACTATATTCTACCCACTTCAAAACTCCGAACCAATATAGAAGCATCAAGAGGAAGTATGGGCCAATAGGCCCTTTGCAGTTACTCCATTCTTATGTTCTCATATCCAATTAATACCCATTGTTTCGTGTTCTCTCTTGTGTTTGTCACAAGTTTGTTCACTTCATTAAAAACTGTTGCACCATATCACCTCACCCAAATGCGAGTATCAGAATGACGGATTAGCGTGTTTACAGGTTACAGTTGTGTGAGTAAACTAAAGTCTTTGAAAATGTAATAAGCTATAACGAAATGCGTTCAAGCGTCACGTCAGACTAGAAACAAAAATGAATTTTGGAGAATTGATTTTTCAATTACCATCGACAGTGAAATGAAATATAAGAAATATTGAGAAAATTCGTGTTAGAATTATTAATCTTACTTTTTCGGTTATATTTAACAACATATGTTTACAAGAAATTGCTACCAAAATATACTAATATATATATATATATATATATATATATATATATATATATATATATATATATATATATATATATATATATATATATATATATATATATATATATATATATATATATATATATATATATATATATATATATATATATATAT